TCAATTGCAGTTGACATTTAATATTCTATTAGTTTCAGGTGTACAGCATAGTGGTGAGACAGTTGTATAACTTACAAAATGATTCCCCTGATATTTCTAGTACTCACCTGGCACCATGCATAGTTATTACAATATTATTGACTATATTTCCTATGCAGTACTTTACATCTCTGTGACTACTCTGTAACTACCAATCTGTACTTCTTAATCCCTTCACCTTTTCACCCAGTACCCTAACCCCCCTCCCACCTGGCAACCATCCGTATGTTCTCTGTATCTATGAGTCTGTTTGTGGGGTTTTGTTGTTGGTTTATTTTGTTTTTTAGATTCCACATATAAGTGAAATCATATGGCATTTGTCTTGCTCTGCCTGACTTACTTCACTTAGAATAATACCCTCTAGGTCCACCCATTTTGTTGTTGCAAATGGTAACATTTCATTCAGAAATACAGAACTTTCCTTTTTCCTAATGGGCCTATTTCAATGTCTCTCACCATCTCACCCACCTCACCATTTCCTGTCTAGAGCACTCTTCTTCTTCCCCCACATCATTCTTCTCTCCCACCAGTCCTCCTTCACCAGGATACTTCCTACATTTCCTGTGAATGATGGCTTCAAAGTCATACCCTTCAGGAAATCCCTGCACGTCCCCTGACCTCTCCACCCCTTAGAATGCATGTTCCTTCTCAGTGCTCCCATAATACCATGTATTTCCTCTTCCACAGCACTTATATCACATTGCATCTACTCTTGGTTATTTTCCCCATTAGAATGTAATCTACAAGAGCATGGACTATTCTTGCTTTTATTTAACACTTATATAGAATTTACTCTGTGGTAAACAGTTCTATAAATTCTACAAATATTAATTAAATATTAATTCACTTAATCTTCATGGGGAATCTTCAATTCTGTGAGGAACCATTGTTATTGCCATTATACAGATGATGGAGCTAAGGCAGAGAGAGGTTAAGTAACTTGCCCAAGGCCACATAGCTAGTAAATGGCAGAGCTGGGATGTGAACCCCAAAATCCAAGCTCTTAACTACTACAATACACTATTCTCCTTGTTCACCAGTGTATTCTCATTGCCTGTCATACAGAAAGTCCACTCAAGAAATTTTTGAATAAAAGAAAGAATGACTAAATGAACAAAGATAATGGAAATATCAAAGTCCTTGGTGGGAGCAGCGGGAAGAAAAAAATGTAGCCACATACTGACACAGAGATTAAGGCTAGGAGTCAGAGAAGTTGAAAGCAAATAGTCCAAGGGGTAAGGAAGACACCAGGAGAAGTGGCAGGTGATGAAAGGCAAGGTAGCAGAGGCAGAGGCAGCTCAAAAGGGCAAGTGACAAATAGCTCTGCAGTCAACAAAGGAAAAAATAGAACCAACCATTTGATTTGGCCAGGAGCTGGCCCCTGGGGACCTCAGAGCAGTTTCCAAAGAGTGCTGGGGAGAGAAACCAGATTGCATGGGCTTGAGGAGGGTGTGGGTTAGATTTTACTCCCCTCCGAGCCATAAAAGGAGGAATTTGGGAAGGGGTATTAGTTAGGTTAAGCAAGGTCTTTTTTGCCAAGATGTGGTGATTAGGGTCTGCTTCATGGCAAGAGGTAACAAAACTGCAGAGAATAACTCAAGTCAAACCAAAACAAAGAGTCTGCTGTACAGTGGAGGGACCACACCGCAGCCAACTCCATAAAATGTAAACATGGGTAAAGTATGCTAATGTCTGTGATGAAGGTCTGGACAACAGTGCTTGGTAGGAATTTTTTCCTGAGAAATGTCTGGTAACCCTAGACGTGAGCTGGAAAGCTCTGGTATGGGAGAGTTTGCTGACTTGATTTAGAGGCTACTAGTGAAAGGAAAGCAGATAAAGAGTAGAGACATGAAGAGGAAAGAGAAAACTATTTTCAAGAGTTCAAAAAGCATGAGAAAGCCAGAAAGAAGACAAGATGGGTCATGTAACTGCAATGAAAAAAGAATTTTGTTAACTGGCCAGAGGCCTGGTAGTGAAAACGGGCCTGATATTTGGAATCAGTTGGAAAGAGGTTTTGGCTGAGGGAGCCAAACAGTGAGCAGTTGCCCAAAGGAGGGTCATTTCAGAAGGGCAAGTGCAGAGGTTCTGGAGGCTGTTATCAGCTCGAGGGCTTGGCCTGAAGGGGCCTACTGGGACCCAAATCCAAGAGACCTTGCATCCACTGAGAAAGGGAGCTGCACCTACAGCCCTCTTGGGTATGGGATAGCAGGCAGGGCCAATACACAGGGCTGGGCAGCCTGAGAAAAGGAGCTCTTGGGAAGAGAATGAAAGAATGGCAGCCACAGCATATTCAATGATTTCTTCCAAAAACATTTATTGAGCATGTACTTCACACCAGGTATTGGTTAGAGGCTCTGCCTGCTCTCCAGGAATTTACATTCCAGTGAGAGAAAGCCAAAACATAGCTTACCCTATAACACAAAGACGCTGAAGCTCAGTGACGGAGGGCTTGGTGGTTTTAGTGTTGATATGTGCCAAAGGGCTGTGGTGGTTTTAGTGTTGATATGTGCCAAAGAAACCCAATGAAAAAGTCTGCACACGCTCGAGATAATGCAGGGTCTACTTTCCTTCAGGAAGTAAAGAAGAGAGGCTTCATGCTAAAGTCTTGGGGTTTGGTTTAATCTGAATAAACTCATAAATCTACCAGATGGTTACTTTTTGTATATTGTCGCATTTTCTGTTTTATAATGAGACAAGTATTTTTCAGAGTCTATATTTACATCATTTCAATTCCATTTGAGGGCATATCAAAAAGGATCAATAGCATGCCCTGTTAGAAAAAAAGTAAACACTTTAAAAAACATTCACCTGCCTGGGGAACACATCCTAAGGCCCTATGGGTGCTGCATGCCCTCACCCTCAGAGCACTGTGTGGCTAAAATCATTTGTGCTTCCCTAATACAGGTGAATCCATTTTAAAACTGTTTCAAGAGTATTCACCTTGCCCTAGCTGGCTTGGCTCAGTGGTTAGCCCATCAGCCTGCAGACTGAAGGGTCCAGGGTTCAGTTCCAAGGGCACACATCTCAGTTGCAGGCTCAATTGAGGGCTCATTTGAGAAGCAATCAATTCATGTCTCTCTCTCACATCTGTATGTGTTTTTCTCTCTCTCTCCCTTCCACTCTCTGAAAAGCAATGGGGAAAATATCCTTGGGTGAGGATTTAAAAAATAATAAATAAATAAATAAATAAATAAATAAATAAATAAAAGATAATTTTTTAAAGAAGAGTATTTGCCTTGGAATGATTTTTAAAAAATACTTGGTATCTAATTTTTAACATAACCTCTTCTCTGATTATGAAAAGAAGGCATACTCATTGTAGAAAAGTTGGGGGGAAAGAAGGGTTTTTAATGTAATCTTAAAATGCCATTTGTGACCTAGGGAATATATATGGTGTCCCCCATAAAAGTATACACACTTAACAGCTGATAGTTCAATTGATGGTTCTTTCTTGTATAACTGAGCAGAGAATTCAGCTACACTATGCCCAGAACTCAGACTCACAGCAACTGTAAGGTAATAATTGTGTATGTTGCTTTGAGCTGCATAGTTCATTGGTAAAGTTTTCTATTTACACAGAAATAGAAAACTGACACATCAGCCCCCACTAGTCCTGCACTTTTTAGCACCACAACCCATGTAGGCATTGCCCTTCTCCAATATTTGTATCAGAATGGAAATAGGGGCTTCTAGTGTCTATTTCCCCATTAATTCCCACCAGGTGAATCCCACTAGACTTGCCTGAAATGCAGCATGTGTATTACTATCTCTGGCTGAACTTTTGTTTACACCATTCCTTCCAACCCAGAATCCCTCTTTTCCCCCTTTGTGCCTCCTCCCTTTCATCCATGAAACCTTCTGAACTTCTAAACTACTGGACCATTGCTTTCACTGCATTTTGTGTTTGCATCACTTGTTTGTCCCTGATTCATATACTGCCATGTGGTCTCTTCAGAAATCTTATTTTTCTGAAAATATTATTGAATGTGTTCTCATATCTATAATATATTATACAAAGAATGTATAAAAGATTACATAAAGGTATATCAATAAAATGATAAACTCACTGAAACTCAGGTTTACACATTGTGCATAGTATCCTGCTAGGAATACGCACTTCTGCATTTAAAAATCATGTTATATAAAGTAGTCAGCCAAGTGTGATTGGTCTCTTATTGAGCCTTTTTTGGAGCCAGACCTGAGAACATCCCTCATCCTTTCACTGAAAAATGCCATCTACTATAATCATTTCAGGGATTAAATGAGGCTAACGTAGGTGCCTGACAGTTTGTAGGTGCTCAATAAATGTGAATTGAATCAGAATCTTGGCTGGCAAATCTCTCATGTGCAAAGTCGGCGGATTTATCACAAGCAGGCCAATACTTCCAAGAGCTCAGTGAAACTGAAGAAGCTTGTGCACACAAAAGGCCAGTTTAGGTAACTGTGTTTAAGTTTTAGTTTCCTTTCAAAGTAGATATATGTGGAATGCAAGGCCAGGAACTGACTAATAAATACTGATCAAAAGTGGGGAGGGAGCTAAAGGAATGTGAGTAGGTCTTGCCAGGAATGAAGTTTGATGCTTCTGAAATGTTTTGGGTTTAGCCACTAGCAGGATTGATCTATTGCAGTTAGCAAAGCGTTTTTTGAGCAGCCAGTCTAAGCATCTGGTTCTGTATTTCTGTACAACTGTTGCTCCAATTCACTCTTCCTTTCGAATGAGTCATCATATTTGGAGAGCAAGAGAAAAATCCATGCAACCCCCAAAATATCCTAACACCTCCGGAGGCCTTTAAAGGAGGGTCTTTAATATTTCCCCTACCCCGCCTAGGTTCAAACTTCAACTCCCAGGGTTCGCCCAAATCCCTCCCCTTGCTGTCATCTAATGAATATGCAAACACAACATAATTGGCAGCCAATGGTGTGGGTTCTGGTCACATGGTGCCGGTGGTAGGTGAGCGAACAGAAGTTGTGTGTCGGTGAACAGAGACAGCTCTCAGTCTGGGGCGAGCGCTTGAGTGAGCTTGAGCGGATGCTAGGGCTGTAGTCTCTGCGGCAGGGGCGGCGGCAGTAGTGGTGGCAGAAGAGAGGAAGGGGGAGGGCCCCGAGGGCTACACACGCTCACACTTTCAAGTTCCCCTGGAGGGAAAGGAGGTGGGGCTGCAGAAAGAGGAGGCCAGGAGCAGTTCCATCCGTCCAGTCCTGTCTCCCTCTCCCCTCTGGCTCCCTTTGCCCTGGCTCTGCGAGAGTTGAGGGTTCGGGTGGCAGTAAGCAGCAGTGAGGCCAAGAGGGCCAGGAGAGCGGGGAGTGGAGCCAGGGGTGAGGGGGAAGATGCCCATCCTGCTGTTCCTCATAGACACGTCCGCCTCTATGAACCAGCGCACTGACCTGGGCACCTCCTATTTGGACATTGCCAAAGGCGCTGTGGAGTTATTTTTGAAGGTAAAGGGAGGGGAGGGCAGAGACAGGGAGAGCTCCCGTGGGGGTGGGGGTGGA